CAGTCACACTAGCCACTTTTCAAGTACTCAAATACACAGCTACTATACTGGAGAGACCAGGGATAGGGCATGTCCACCACCACAGAGGGTTCTATTGAATGGCATTGATGTGAAACCTTTAATAAAGGCTTCCATAACTATGCAGTTCTCCACCGAGTCACAGCCACTATTGTCCCTAGTTTGGAACCCCATATTTCTTTCCCTAGCCACCTTTGGCATTTTGATGAGTACATACAGACTCTTCAAAGAACAGAATGACCCAACTCTGGTATTCAGAGAAGCCATAATCCATGTTTTTCAAGGACATCTCATCCTACTCTATAGTTTAGTGCAGTCTAGTAGGGCAAGGTAAACATCGTCTCCTGGCTGTGGTTCCACAAAGAATGACTCACTCCTGCCTGCATTCCTCTGGCTCTCAGGATATTTTGACAAAACCATCAAAGGATCTATTTTCTACAACCTTTTGCCAGAAGCCGAGTAAGCACTGAGAACGTGCTGCAGTGGCAGAAGAGAATAAGGAAATGGCCACTGAGTGAAATGAGGCAGTTTATTGCCCACTCCTGTCCTCACTCTCTCAGTAGGACCACCCTTTTTAAGGGAAAGAGGAGGGAAACTAACTAATCTGTATTAAGTAAGTACTGCTTAGGAAAATGCCTTATCTAATTTAATCCTCACAGCAGTCTGAAGAGATAGGAATTCCTCCAGCCCCATTTTGCAGCTGAGGCTACAGGGTTACAAAGGAGCGAAGCAGCCTTCACTGAGAGGGCTTAAGTGTCCAGGTACTATGCTGGCTGTTTAGAATAAATTATCTCGTTTAATCCTCAGGATGAGAAGGCAAGGGGGAAGGAAAAATATTAAGCTTAATTTTCCGGTAGAGATTTGTCCCAGTGAATAGCACTCTTTTCAGGATCACAAAGGTTTTTGGTGTTTGTGTTGTTTTGTTTTCATTTGTAAACCTAATTCAGTTTTAAGAGACTCTGCTAACCCAAAGGCTGGCCTCTCTGGTGGTTCAAATCCACCAGGCTTTCATGGAAGAAAATGGGCAATCTACCATGAGATGTAGAGCCTCCAAAAGGCCAGTGGACAGTCAGCTATGAGTCAGTGCCAACTGGATAGCAATGAGTTAACTTTAAGTTTTGCTTGTTTGTTTATTTTTCACTGTTGAAAATGTTGTTGTTGTTGTTGTTATGTGCCATCGAGTCGCTTGCGACTCATAGCGACCCTATGTACAACAGCCCTAAACTCTGCTCTGCCCTGTGCCAATCGCACTGTCTCCGACACTCCCATCCCGATTACCCCAGTCACTGAATCAATCCACCTCATAGAGGGCCTTCCCCTCCTGCGCTGTCCCTCCACCCTCCCAAACATGATGTCCTTCTCCAAGGACCAGTCTCTCCTCACAACATGTCCAAAGTATGTTAGACGGAGCCTCAGAATCCTTGCCTCCAAGGAGCCACCCGGATTAACCCTTTCCAGGACAAATCTGTTTGTTTTCCTAGCAGTCCATGGTATTCTCAATACTCTTCTCCAGCACCACAGCTCAAAGGCATCAATTCTCCTTCTATCCTCCTTGGTCATTGTCCAACTCTCTGATGCATAACAAGTGATTGCGAAGACCATGGCCTGTATCGGACGCATCTTAGTCTCCAGAGAGACACCATTGCTCTTCAGTACTTTGGAGAGGTCCCTAACAGCAGACGTTCCCATGGCAATGAGCCTTTTAATTTCCTGGCTGCTGGCGCCAAGAGTGTTGACTGTGGAGCCAAGCAAACTAAAGCTGTGTACATGAGATAGAGCTTCAAAATCCTAGCCTCCTTGATTTCACCCTCTTTGAGACAGACCTATTTGTTTTCTTGTTGGTCCATGGTATGTTCAAGACTCTTCTCCATCACCACAACACAAAGGCATTAATTCTTCTGTCATCCTTAGCCATTGTCTAGCTCTCTGATGAATAGCAAGTAACTGTGAAGACTGTGGCAAAAACCACTACCACTATACCAAAAATATTATATATGCATAAATATATATGTTATTATACATCTATGCTATAGTTACACATACAAAATGTTACATCTATCTATCTATCTATCTATCTATCTATCTATCTATCTATCTATCTCTAGATATATTTAGAAATATAGATATGCCTATAAAAATACCACTGCCTTTGAATTGGCTCTGACTCAGGAGATCCTCCATCAGATATCCAAGTCTGTAAATCTTTATTGGAAGTCATTGCTCATCTTTCTCCTAATGAATTAGAACTGCCAACTTTTTGGTTAGCATTCTGGTATTTATGCACTATGCTACCAGGGCTCCTTACACACACGTACACATACACACGTGTATATGCGTGCATGTACATATCTATATAATTATATATAAACTAGTGGCAGTCCAATCTGACTTCAACTCCCGGTGACCCCACATGTGTTGGAGTAGAACTGTGCTTCTTGGGGTTTTCTCAGAAGTAGATTGCTGGGTCTTTTTTCTGGGGCCTTGCCAGTTTTCACTTAGGGTTTGAGCCTGAGCGCTGCCTACACCTCAGGGGCTGTTTTATTTACTGCGTTATGTACAGTAACGCGGTGCAGATGTAAGGTGGCGGGGATGGCGTGATCACAATCTGCAGACACAAGTATCTGAGTGCTGATAATCAAATTGCAAAACACCAGATTCCTCCTTGCAGCGCCTGAGCGTATGTGCAGTGAAACGCTAAGATGCTAAGTCACTCTTGAGCTGTTGTGAGGATTAGGCAAAAATGTTAATGGCAACAGATGCCGACTTGCTCCTTCCAGGCGAATTCAGGCTTCAATGAAAGAACTTCTATACTGGCTTCAGCCCAAGACGTGGCCACGGCCCTTCCTCTCACCTCTTGCTCAAACCAGCAAATGGCAGGGCTCATTCCCTGCCTGGAGGGCCACAGCTGACTGGGAAATATTGGAAGAAGAGTTTTAGCACTGTAATGGTATCCCATAAGATCAAATTATTTAAGATTTACTGAAAATGGAGAGCTACAAACCAAGATGGGAGCCCAGTATTTTATTTTTTGTTTTATTTAAATTTATTATTAATTTCAGTAAAAATTTACAGAGACTTTGGATTTCCATTCATTCATTGTTGCACTTTTCTCCCCTCACAACCCTCCCCCCTCGTACACTCCTCTCTTGGAAAAGTAAAAGAAAAATTCTTTCATTGTTTTACAAACTAGGTCCACTCCACCATGTAGCCTTTGCTCTAGACTCCTGTCATGACAAAAATACCTAATCACATATCCTTTTTAAACAGTTTTCTCCCTCATCTGTTTCAATGCAGTATACATTATTGGACCCATCTTTCTTAGTCTCCCCACAACCCCAAGATCAGTCCTGTTTTACAACAGTGGCACCATGCAGTATTTGTCCTTCTGTGACTGAGATACTTCACTTAGAATAATGTCCTCCATGGTCACCCATTTTGAATAATATTGCATGAGCTCCTTGTTTTTCAATGCAGCATAGTATTCCATTGTGTGAATATACCACAGCTTCTCTATCCATTCGTTTGTTGATGGACACTTAGGTTGTTTCCAAATCCTTGCTATTGTAAACAAAGCTGCAATAAACATGGGTGTGCATATATCTGCTTGGATGGCAGTTATGGTCTCTTTGGGGTATATTCCCAGTAGTGGAATTGCTGGGTCAAATGGTATGTCTATTTGCAACTTTTTGAGAAAGTGCCATACCACCTTCCACAGTGGTTGCACCATTTTACACTCCCACCAATAGTGAATAAGGATTCCAGTTTCTCCACAACCTCTCCAGCACTTGTTCCTTGCTGTTCTGTTAAATTTTGCTATTCTTACTGGGGTGAGATGATATCTCATAGTGGTTTTAATTTGCATCTCTCTTAGAGCTAGGGATTTTGACCATTTCTTCATGTGCTTGTTAGCCATCTGAATGTCTTCTTCGGTGAAGTGTCTGTTCATATCCTGTGCCCATTTTTCTATTGGATTATTTACCTTTATCTTGTGGTGGGGAGCCAAGTATTTTAATGAGTGAAGAAAAAAGAACTAGGTCCTGAGACCCCTCCAGGTCTTCATTGGTGGGAGCTGTACAGTGGAGATAACAGCTCTGGACCTCTGGAAAGAATGTTCTAAGAGACCATGAAAATGGATGAAGAGAGGCCAGCTTACAGATCGTTCCAGAATTTATCCAAGTTTCTCCTTCTAGTGCTTGGTGCCAAGGCTGTCACATTCTTTGGAAAAGAGCAAGCTGTGTCCACGTGTCTGTCCAGAGTCTGTGCAGGATCAGGTCCCCTCTGAGAGTGAAGGGGGAGAAGCCTGAGGTTTCCTGGGAGAAGCTTTCTGATGAGTGACTGTATTACCTCCTCCGGGAAGCTCCAGGGCCCCTCAGCAATCACCTTTGTTTTTTGAGTTGGAATCTTTTTATTGGTTTGTGCATAATAATTTCTATACATTGTGTTTCATTCATACACATCGTGTTTTATGCACTCTTTCATTTACATTGTGTTTTATACAATCATTCATATGTATTGTGCTTTATAGAACTAGTTATTACTGATCTATGCCTATTATTTTCCCTTCTTTTTGAGTCCCTATTGGATCTTTCTCATTCCTTCACACTCCCATCTGCTCATTAAACTCTACTATCCTTGTGATTCCCACCCTCCCCTTTTTTCTACTCTCTTCCTTTTCCTCTTCCCCTTTTGGACATTGATACACATCTTACTAGTTATCCTTCTATTTTAAAAATAATGGTTTTCTGCAGTATTTGTCCTTATGAAACTGAGTTAATTTACTTAGTAAAATGCTCTCTAGACTCTCCTGTGTTCTATTTATAGCACTTTACAAAATTGTTCCTGTGAGAGCCACACAGTATTCCATTGTGTGACTGTACCACAGTTTTTCAAACCATTCATTTGCTAATGAGCATTTGGATTGTTTCTGGGTTTTCTGCTATTGTGAATAACACTGCTATGAACCTGGCTGTACAATCACTTACCTTTGAACGGGGCTTGGGCTCGGGTTACCAGGTAGAGCGTCCTGCTCTTGCTGGGCCGGTCCTGGCGGATGTGGTAGCCCAGGGTGTTGCACTGGCCCTTCTTGCAGCTCAGGCACAGGCCCTGGCTGAAGCTGTCCATGTTGCTGCACAGGTAGGCAGTGCTTGGCATGCTGCTGTGCAGCAAGGAGTCAATGAAGAGGTGCACTGACCGCTCGTGTGAGCATTTTATGGTCTTGGTAATGGCTGCAAACATAGAAAGCAACCCTTACTCCCAAGTGTCCTCAGTGCAATCAGCAGTTTGTTTCCCAACTCAAGAAAAACAAAACATAAAACCAAGCAAAGTGTCACCAAGTGATGACAACTCTATAGTTTCTGAGAGGCCTACACGGTTTTCATTGGTGAGGATCTTTTGGAAGTAGATTAGCAGATCTTTCTTCTGACGTACTTTTGGATAGATGGGAACCACCAATCTTGCAGTTAGTAACAGAGCAGTTAACTGTATCACTTACGGACTTCCACACAAGACTAAAACCAGCAACTAAAACAAAAGAAAACACTAACAACAACAACAACAATCCAAAGCTATTGCTATTGGAGCCCAAGTGTCTTAATGGTAAGAAATTGTGCTACCAACACAACGGCACACCGTTCAAATACACCAGCTGCCTCTGAAAACCTTCTGGAGAGTCAGTTTTGCATTGCTTTTTACTCTATGATACTCAGCAACAACTGCTTTTGAGCTGGCGGTGACTTACAGTGGCCATCCATGGGGATTGGAACGTTTAGAGGTAGAAATTTCCCATCTTTTCCCCAAAGAGCAGCTGATGGGCTTGAAATGCTACTTACTCCTCCAACTTGACAGCACCTCATTTCGGCTGTCCCTCGGTCACCAGCAGTTTCCTGGCTAGATTCTCAACCTGGGCTCAAAAGAACTGTCGACCTTTTTTTTTTTTAGCAGCTCAACACACCATGGCTCCTTCCACAGAAGAATGGGAGCAACAAATTAGGAAAGTTGAGGATCACTGAGGCAGACATACTGACCAGAGAGATGAAATAACCCACTGAAAACTCAGGGTGGAGGAGAGCCATTGTGGTTGGTTAGGACACAGGCAGAAAGCCACCCACTTGGGGCTCCTGAGGCACCTCTCTAAAGCAGCACGCACACCTCTTGAAAGGAACTCTGAGGCTTTAAGAACGTGCTCACTATATCACTGAAGAAACAGTGGTATAATTAATTCTATAAATATTTCTGTCTCTAATGGTCAAATATATAAAAGTACTCATAGTTTTCAGGTGAGTTACCTGGAGTAGGTTTGCAGAGTATTTTCTTAATAAATATAGAAATGAGGCACTCTAAAGATCTGGTAAAATTTGACATCTCTCTTACAACTTCTACTTTATGTCCAAAGTGGCATTTCTACCTTTGCTAAATGGTCTGTAAATATCTACAGTGTGTGGATTTAGAAGGACCAAGAGTCCATAAGCAGAAGTCATAGTAGATCAAGTGCTGTTAACCAAAAGGTCTCCAGTTCAAGACTAGCAGTCACTCTGTGGAAGAAAGATGGACAGTCTCCTTTCATTAAGAGTTGCATAGAGAAGTGTACTCGGGGTGGGGGGTGGGGGGAAGGGACGTGGGAATTGTATACTAATGAAGGAATTTTTTTTCTTTTTTCTCTCTTCGGAGCGGGAAGCGAGCTGGTGAGGAGGGGTGGGAAGGGAGAAAATTGCTGCAATGAATGAATGGAAATCCAAAACCTCGGTAAAAAAAAAAAAATAAATAAAAAATTTAATAAAAAAAAAAGTTACAGATTTTTTCCATATGGAAAACTATAACCAGGAGGGGATAAAATAGATGAGTGAAACCTAACAATCAAATCCCTACACACATCAAAAAACTTCTCCAACAGGGTAAAAAGGAAACCCACAGACTGGGAGAAGATATTTGGCAATGACATATCCGATAAAGGGATCATACCTAAAATTTAGGGGATGTTCTAGCACCTCAACAAGGAAAAGGCAAACAACTCAAATCACAAAATGGGCACAAGATATGAATAGATACTTCAATACGGAAGAAATTCAGACGGCCAACAGGCACATGAAGAAATGTTTCGAATCCCTAACCATGAGAGAGAGAGAGAGAGAGAGAGAGAGAGAGAGAGAGCACATCAAAACAGTGAACTACCATCTCCCTCCAGGAACAATAACAAAGTTTACACAGCAAATGCTGGCAAGAATGTGGGGAGATTGGAATTCTCATTCACTGCTGGTAGGAATGTAAAATGGCACAAGCACTATTGAAGGTGGTCTGACACCCTCCCAAATAATTCTGAATACAAATACCATTTGACCCATTTATTCCACTGTTGGGAACATACACTTAAGCAGTCCATCTGCCCATCAACAAGCAAATGTATAGAAAAACTGTGGTACATTCACACAATGGAATATTACACATTTAAAAAACAATGAATTTGTGAAACACTACACAACATTTGTGACTCTGGAAGACATTACACTGAGTGAAATGTCTTAGTCACAAAAAGACAAATACTATATAAGATCACTGTTTGAGGGAAGACAGAAAAGGAGGGAAGGAATGATGTATATTGCATTGAAACAGATGAGGGAAAGAATTGTTTAAAAGGGACATATGAATGGGTATTCTTGTCATTACAGAAGTCCAGAGTGAAGGCTGCATAATGGAGTGGACTTGCGGGGAAGGATTGCATACGTTTTTCTTTTTCTTTTCTAGGGAAAGAGTGAGTTGGGGGTGGATGGAGCGGGTAGGGAGAAAACAATGAATGACTGGAAATACTAAGTCTCTGTATACTTTCATTAAAAGTAATTTTTTTAAAAAGAGAACAAATAGATATGTCTTGGAGAGGTTTAAAAAACAAAGGGAATTGATATGGTGGGGAGGAGAATGGGAAAAAAAGTAGATAGATAATGAATATTGCACCAAAACTGACGAAAGAAATGAGCCTCTGAAAGGAGTGTATGATTGGGCATTTTATGTATAACAACAATCTGGAACAAGGAGCAGGGAAGGGGTGGGCAGGGAGAAAAAGTACAACAATGAATGAATGGAAATCCTAAGTCTCTGTAAACTTTCATTAAAACAAATATTTTTTTAAAAAAAGTGAATCGGGGAGAGAAAGAAGGATGAGGGAGGAAAATGTGTATCAATGAAATAAAGATAACCCAACCTAAAAAACAGAGAAGAAAAGCCAACCTTTCTGTAAACTTTTGTTAAAATAAAAACTAAAAAAAGTTATAGCGTTCAAGGCTTGATACTGCGTCCCCATGAGTTGGAACTGACTCAACGGTAGTGGGCTTGGTTTTGTGTTTTTGATCTATGACCAGAATTTGGATGGGCCAAATCCAAACTCGTTATAATTATCTATCACAGGTTTTTAGCCTTTAAAGAAAACCCTCTAGATCTTGATCTAATCTTGAAATATTCTCATACCAGCCTCATATCTCAGTCATTCTTCAAGGAATGTTGAAGAACTATCACAAGAATGTAGAGTACAAAATGTGAACTTTACTTTGACTAAAGCTGTTTCCCTCAAGTATTTGAGCTGTGGTCAGTAGTGGATTGTACTTGTTGAGCACTTACAGTGAGGCAGGAACTCTGGTGGCAGAGTCCATAGGGAGTTGTGTTGCTAACCTGAAGACTGTATTTCTTTGGTGGTTCAAATCCACCAGCAGCCCCATGGGAGCAAGATGGACAATCTCCTCCAATGTGATTTACAGCCTTGGGAAGCCTGCTGGGGAGTCAGCTGTGAGCTGCTTCTGACTTGACAGCAATGAGTTATTGTGAGGCAGGAGTAAAGCTGAAAGCCTGCTGGGGAGTCAGCTGTGAGCTGGTTCTGACTTGACAGCAATGAGTTATTGTGAGGCAGGAGTAAAGCTGAATGCCTCCACAGTGCTGTGAGGCAGCTATTATAAATAAGAAAACAGAGCCTCAAAGACGTGCAGTAACTTACCCAAGTGCCCAGGGCCTTATGTGGCCCCAGACAAGGACAACACATTGAACGAGGGAGTGTCCAAAGGAGGAAGAACAATCACAGGTGCCAGAATTCAGTGATCAGAGGGGAGAGTATCAAAGCAGCTAGTAATATAAACAGTGGTTAACGTTCTCTTCACCACTGCCTACCACTCAGTTTGCTGTACTGTGGTGGCTTGTACGTTGTCTGTTGCTGTGATGCCGGACATTGTGCTGCTAGTATTTCAAATGTCAGCAGAGTCACCCAGAGTGGATAGGCTTTGGCAAATCTTCCTTTTAGACCAAGTCTAGAAAGAATAACCTGATGATCTGGCTTTGAAAACACCACCATCACCACCACCTCTCAAATTTATTGCCATCAAGTTGGAACTGGCTCAAAGCTGAACCTCCAGTGGATTTTTGGAGGCTGTAAATGTCATGGGAGAAGATGGCCCAGCCAGTGAAAACCTTATAAATCAAAAGACAATGTTGTCTGCATTACTTGTTTAGGATAGGTCAACAGAAAGAACCAATCATCAGAGGAGAATATTATGTTTGGTGAGGTAGGAAGCCAATGAAAGCACAGGAGACACTCAAGAAGATGAATTGACACAATGCTCTGGATGGACTGGAATATTCTGGTGATTATGGGGGTAACGCAGGGTTAGGCAACCTTTTGTCAGAGTTGACACAAGGGCAGCTACCTATCACAATTCTGTGCAGACGTGTTTGGAAAAATAGCCCCACAAAGAAAAAAAAAATTCAGATGAGGTGGTGGTGGTGGTGGTGGTGGTGGTGGTGGTGTGTGAGGCAAATTGAGAAAACCAAGCTGAGGTTGAGAAAGTGAAATAAAAAGGTGTGATTCCATTAATTTGAAGTTTAGCATCAAGAGAGCAAAAAGTCCACAGTTGGTCAGGTATGCTTACTGGGCACAGTAACTATAAACACCATCCTACAAGTCAGTCTTGCCATTTTTGGAGGATGTAGATTTGGGAAGAGAGCTGACTGGTCTGTTAGGAACCTGTGGGTGACCAAGGGACAGTGGTCTGAAGGAGATGTGATAAAGAATGATACGGAGAAGTTTCCAGAAGGCTCTCTCAGCTGTGAGTGGGTGGAAGGCTGGGAGTCTAGCCAAAATGAGATAATGTCAAGCTTGAAGGTCAGTCTGATATGTGAGAGGTGAGATTGGGGAGATACTCGTGGGAGAGCATGTTCTCAGCTCAGCTTTGGATGACTGGGGCAAGAAGGTGGCATGCAGAGGTGGGGGGGCTCCAGTTGGCTTAGAGTGAGTCGGCATGTTTTAATTGGGATGATATTTTGTAAATTACAAGAAGTTTTGAATGCCTGTGGAATGTGTGGTTTCTGCTGACATTTTTATTCTTTAATCCTCTGCATGTTGCCAATGTTCGTTTTAATGTTTTCATTTTCGAATTTAAAGGCGAAGTGAGATCACAATATAGATAATGCCAACTTCATATTCTGCCCCAAGGTAAAGGATGTAACTGGGGTGTAGTTGAACCAGAGGCCAAGTTCAAAGGCACTCAGTGATGGCCTGTGGGAACAGCTGATGAATCTCTGCAGTTGGGGTGAGGGAGGGTAGAACTGTCTCACACTTCTGAGACCAAGGATCAAGTGGTCATAATCTATTATTAAGTGGATCCTCATGTGTCCCATAATTGAGAAAACTTGAATGAGGAACCTTCCAGAGAAGGAATAATCCCAAGTGTCAGGATCAGTGCAGAAGGGCTAGCATCCCAAGGGAATCCCTGGATGATACAAATGGTCAATGTGGTTGGCTGTTAATCAAAAGTCTGGAAGTTTGAATTCACCTACAGATGCTTCTGAAAATAAGCTTGTCTTGCTACTTGAGAGAAAAACAGAAAAGCAGTTGTTGACACATCCTACGAACATAGTTACCCTCTGACATGCACATGGTTGGTCTGGCATGAGTTGGCTTTGAATCAGCTTGAGGACAACTAACTGGTTTCAGTCTCTCAGGAGCCACTTAGCTCCACTGTGATTTCAAGTAGTGGTCTCGGCTCATTCTCAGGGCTTGTGCGCTAAAAGACTGTCTGGTAAGTGAATGAGCTGCTTGGGGAACACCAGCCCTTCCCCCCGTCTGACAAGGACTTTCTGAGTGACCTTGATGACTATGGACCCTGGAGCTCTATTCTCACCAAACTCTTTTCAGAGAAGCGGCTACTAGATCCCAGCGACCTGTGGAATTGTGGTCTGTGCAGGCTGGTGCTCCCAGCCACGTCTTCGTTCTCACCGTTTAAGCCGTGCTTAGCAATGTGTTTGTAGAGCTCTAAAAAGTGGCAGCCAGGCTGGAAGGAGCCCCCGTTAGGGTAGAAGTCATAATGTGCCACAGGATCTTTGATGCCCACACTTAGACCCATGTGCTCCTTCGTAAAGGTGTGGATGGCGTCCACAAATTTGGCATCATCTGGTGAAAGACGGTCACTGGGGGATATTCCTTCAAACAAGGGGCCCGCAGCATCGAGCCCTAGGAGGAAGACAAGGGCACAGTTAGGTAGGGGAGGGTAAAAGAGAAGCATTTCTTAACTTCTTAATATTATTCTGCATTAATAAGTTAGCAAGAAGGAGAGAGACTCAGTGCATATTCTTTCTGTAGAAAATCCTACCATAACTTTTCACGGTAAAACCATAGTAATTCAGGGTGCTGAAAATTAGATACAGAATCACCTGTAGCTAGAGGGGAAGTGAGGGTTTCAGAAACTAGCCAGTGGTAGAAACAAGAGCATTTATTTAGTTGATTTAATTGGCAAGTCAATTTGAAGTACTTCTCAAGTTATTTTCTAGAACATCTGCTTGTGTAGGAAACCAAACCAAACCAAACCAAACCAAACCAAACCAAACTAAACCAAACCAGGAAAAACACCCAAATGTGCTCTTTGGAAGTCATTCTAACCCTCCATCACTAACCATTTGCCTGCATGTTGACAATAATTTTTCCTAAACAAGCTGGCTTTTCTCCTAGACTCATGCCATGTCTCAGGATGTCCAGAGCAGGGACAACACTATGAACAAATAGGACTGCTCACAACCCTGGCCCTCAAATGACAAGTGGGTTTGTGTAAGACATGTGGCAGCTCTTGGCTGACTCCAGTTGGGGAGCACTTGCTCAACTCAAGGTTTTTCTCGGGTGCCCTCTCCGATGCCTCCCAGCAACCCTGGTTCCTGGCCTTACCAGACGAGAGGAGGTGGACAGGGAGATGGCTTGCCTTCATCTCGTTCAGAGACAAATGAATGACGTATGCCCCTTTCTTTATCAGACTGATCATGGATGTGGGGTTAGCCTTCCTGTTGTACTTGACACATGTGGGCTTGGCAAATGCCTGGTAGGACCCTCAGAACCAGACAGAGGAGGAGAAGGTTCTGATGCCACTTCCCTGCCATCCTGACTCTGGCTAGTTCCTGCTCTTCAGCAATGGTTTTACTGGCCTCTGGAAAGCTGTCATGGGAGGCCTGCTCAGCATGAGACCCAAATCCACTGGCATGGAGTCGGTTCTGACTCAGTGGCCCTGTGAGACAGTAGAGCCGCTGCATCGGTTTCCTAGGCTGCGATATTTACGGGAGCAGACTGCTACAGCTGTTGCCCATGGAGCAGCTGGTGGATTGGGACTGCTGATCTTTCAGTTCACAGTCAAGTGCTTACCCACTGTGCCACACGAGCTCCTTATCCTACCTAGACCACTGATGGTTAAATCAGTGAGGTCAAGTGCTGAACTGTGGACCAGGACTTAACAATCACCAGCAAGATGGAAAAATAATGAGGACAAGAACATGAGTTCTCCTAATGACAAATGTATTTAAAAGTCTTACATTATCTACCCTTCTTACCATGAAAAGAAATATTTTTAAAATGAAATAATGGTCATTTTTTTCCCAAAGTTCTAACATGATAAACACCCAACCCTATGCTTTTCTTAGAATTGCATTAGCCTGTGGAATTTTGTTTTAGCTGAAGGAATCTTGAAGGATGAATAGGAGTTTGGTGGGTAGACTATAAGAGGGTGGATAAATAGAGGTAAACATTCTGGGCAGAGGGAATATGTGAAGCCCAGAGGCACAAAAAGCCGTGTGTGTGTGTGTGTGTGTACATGTGCACATGCACACACATGTATATAAAGTGGAGACACACTCACTTCAATGTTGTTGAAACCCACAACTGCCAGAAACATCAGGAGGAGAGATTGGGGAGTTCTGAGGGAGCCACACTGACAAGGCCTTGTCTGTGTCTCCTGTTTTTATCCCTGTAGGAATCAGTGGCCTTGAAACTTCAGCCTGGGATGAACTGACCAGGGGTAGATGGCTGGGGGGAATTTCTTTCACATTGCCAGCTTTTTCTGGGTAATACAAGCTGTTTATAGATTTGTGTGGGGCTTGGGGAGAGGTTTTTGGGAAGTTCCTTCCCTCTTTCCAATGGGACCTAGAATAGGACCCCTCTGTTTCAGGTGAGGAAACTGAGGCACAGATGTGGCTGATGTGTTGCAGCAAATTGAGGCTCTTGACTCTTCACTCTAATTTGCTATGTTGGACTTTTAAAATTACATTGTTGTTATGTGTCATTGAGTCAGAACAGAAACATAGCTGACCCTTCAGCTGTAAATCACAAGAGGAGATTGCCCGTATTTCCCCAGCTTGGATTTGAACTGTGTACTTTTGGGTTGAGAGTGCAACTCCTCACCATTAGAGTACCAGAGATCTCTTTTATTCAGAATAAGACCATGAAAATGGTTGAATAACTTAAATATAAGGAATGGCACTAAATTGTATATGTGGCAATTATGGAATCGACAT